ATTATATACATTACCATTATACCTTAAGCCCGTGAAGGTCCGGGTTAGAATTAACCTTCAGTAACCCATGCTTGTCGTAAGAGGCGACTAACGGGATCGGGTGGTCAGGCTCGCTAGCTTGGTTGACACATGTCATCATTTCCCAATTGTTTAGGTCGATGCTCTTGCTGTTGATCACTGGATTGTCTGGTCCAGACTCAACTATTTACTTTTCGCCGCCCTATAACTGGAATATTGCTGAGTGCGGCGTAAACCTAAACTCACCCACTCGCTCACTATTATACCTTAGGTAAGTGAATCCTGTTCACTTGTTTCTGAGAAATGTATAAACACCAAGAGTAGCGCATGACGCTATAATTATATTGTCCCTAGTATGGTGATCTACCTTCGGTTGTTGGCGACCTACAGCCTGTTTTTATATTGTATTGTCTTCGTACATATAATAGTTTCAGATTTCCATGCTAGTTTTAGACACACTCTGTGATACTCTAGATATTTTACAGTCCTTCGATGACTGATTATTTAACAACTTATATTATTTGTGTATGTAAAACCTTTCTCGTCACTCTATGACGGAAATATTGCCGAGGTGACGTTAACTTTTAACTCACTCACTATTATTATATTACAACAGATAAAAGAAGTGAAGCTGCAATAAATGTAAAATTACGGAAATTATATTTGAATCGATAAAAGAAAGTAAACTTATGTAAAATTTAAATCTATGAGTTTAAAGATGCTATATGAGGTGTGTACGAAGTAGCATGTAACTGCGGAGACAAATACATGGGAGAGACATCACGCCCCATAGCCACCAGGATAAAAGAACATAAGACCTCGGTAGAAAGATCTGACATGAAATCTGACCTTTCGAAACACCTTATCAAAAATCCCGACCACCATATTTCCTGGCAACAAACTAAGATTCTACAGAATAACATCAACCACTGGAAAATGGAAACTTCAAGAAAAAAACCAGCCATTAACCGAGACCAACGCATTTACCTTCCTAGTGAATACTCTTTTGACCTATAATCTCGGCTTTCTCTTATATTATTACACTGTTGATCTCTTGGCTTCATCTTACTTTGTTATGTGTATATTAATCCTATCTAATTGGCTGCAGTAATCCACGGACAGGTAGTCAGTCAATCATCATCATCATCATTTATTTCTCGAAACCACCCACGGCGGTACATGAGACATAATGGCATATATATACAGTAAACATCAAGATGACAGAACATACATGAATATCAATTATAAGTCATTCGTAATACCTCCGATAGAACATGAATACATCTACATGGATAAGTCAAACATATCAGATATACACACAAATATCATACGAATAAACCAGGCATGGAAACAAGTAACGGATGGAAGTTTTTTATGGAATGTAGGGATTATCTCCTAAGTTTTGATGATATTAATTAAAGGTATCTGGAAAGGTTACATAGGATACTTATCTCTTTTAATTGAAGAAGGATTGCCATTTTAGATAAATTTAGGAATTGGCAGAATCTTTTGGGAATATATATAGATCTCTTTTGGGTGAAGGTTTCACACTTGAAAAGGTAATGGAACTCATCTGCTATAGCAGGTGAGCTACAGAGAGGACAAAGTCTTTCAGCTCTTGGTACTCCACTCCATCGGCCTGTTTCCACAGGGAAGTTATGGTTTGATGTTTGCAATTTCATCAGTTGTAATGATAGCGTCTCAGGAAGAAAGAAGGTATGATTCAAATCCAAAAGACTGTTTGAAATACCAATTATAATATAAACCTTTAGGGCTTGCAGAGATATCGCCTTTCCAATTTTGAAAAACTGGTCTTTTAGAATTCTTTCAACGTTCGAAACTAACCGTGGGGTGGAGTACGCAGATGGATTATTCCAAATATGGTTTAAACCAATGTTATTTAAGATATGCTGTATACAAGTTAGCCATGGGTAGTCATTGTTATTAATTTCAAAATCTAACCGAACAAACCGAAGCATTATTTGAGAGAACTTAGTTACACCTATTTGGAAATGTAGTTTATGCCGAAAATTTAACATACGCTTGTGTATCTTGATATATATAGGTTCTCTTCCATATGCCATAAAATTTGGTGTAGAGTTTCGTAGGCCGGCAGCGAGCTTAAGACATTTTAGATGAACTTGTTCAATTAAGTGTAGGTTTTCAAACCCCCAAACTTTTGAGCCATATGCCAACATTGGAACAACCAAAGTGTCAAATGCTGATAATAAACAGTCCAGCGGTAAGTTGATATAGGTATCTCTTAACAATTTCTACCGTAAAAGAAGGCAAGTGTTGATGATGTAGCAGGACCTCCTCCAAATATAACAACTTTAGTTTTCGCAATATTAACGTTTAACTTCATCATAATACAATACTCGTTAAAAGCATTTAAGGACTTCTGTAAGCCATCTGGTGTAACATCTAAAATAGCAGTGTCATCAGCATAAAGTACTACAATGAATTGAATCCACATAATAACCATGGAATCATCTCGATTCCTAATGTCAACGGTAACACCCTCACATCCCTTAGAATATAAATAAGATTCCATGTCATTCAGAAATAGGGAGAAAAGTAAAGGAGAGAGGTTCTCTCCTTGTCGGACGCCAGTAAGGCGCATGGGAAGTAATCAGAACTTGTATTATTTACTTGTAATAGAGATTTTATATCTTTATACTTATTAACTACTAAAGTGGAAATCTTCCCCTTGATTCCATTTTCCTGCATCTTTGACCATAGTCCTATTCTCCAGACTGTGTCAAATGCTTTTGAGAAATCAATGAACACACAATATAGTTTTCTTTTTGATAATTTCAAAAAATGCATGAGTAGGTGAAGGACAAACATATTATCGGCAGTCATAAAATGTTTTCGAAATCCAGTCTGAGCAGAAAATAAACTCTCATTTACATCAAGGAAATTAGTAAGGCGGGTATTAAGTATTCTTGTGAATAATTTGTCAAAAAGACAATCATTGTTACACCCCCAACCCCCACCCCAATAAAAGAAACGTGCTTCATAATCACAGAAATGAACAATGAGAATCTGTTACTTAACAACTTATCTATTATTTGTTGTTATATATCTGTAAAATGCTTTGAATTTTTACTATCTCTACGGTGTTAATGGAGACACGAATGTCCTTGTTTTTCTTGTGTATTGTGATTGCCGGGAGAGCTAAATCCAGCGTTCACTGCAGCGTGACCAGTCCCGCGAAAGCTACATAGGTTTTGAGAAGTTTTTTGTTCAGGTTTAGCTTCCCGAACCATAACCTACCCCAGAGGTTGTCTCCCAACCCCCTACAGCCCAGTACTTCTACAATTAGTTAAAACAACGCGCGGCATCTACCTGTCTGACATAATGAACTGACCCAAAGGATAGATTACAGGGTAGAGTATACAGTGTGATGTTACTAAAGCCGCTGGAAATCATAATGTTGTACATGAATATATTTCTTCTACGATTGATATATTTCTAGATATTTGTACTTGACATTGGAATCTTTCAAGATAAGTGGCTATCCGGTATGATCAAACCAATTTATTCAAATAAAGGCAATCCTAAAAACCATGAAAATTATAGACCAATAACATTACTGAGCTGTTTTGGAAAAAACTCACATCTGTTTTAAACAGCCGATTAAATAAATTCTTCGAATCAAACCAACTCCTTTCTGAAGCTCAGGCTTAATTCTAAAAAGGTTAACCAACATTTTCGCCAACAGACCATATTTTCACTTTATGTCACCTTTTGGAAACTATTAAAATGTCGCAGAAAGAAGTTATATTGCGCATTTATCGATTTCCAATACACATTTTATACCGTCTAGAGATCAGGGCTGTGGCAAAAACATTTACAAACAACATATCAGGGAAATGCTTGAAGGTCATTTTTATCATTTTTCAATTCATACAATCATATGTTCGTAACGGCGGTAATTATTCTAGTTTCTTTTTAATGTGAACAAGGTGTCCGCCAAGGAGAGAATTTGTCTCCTGTCTCCAGCCTGATTAATTCTTCGTTGGCCGGTGGTATTTAATAAGCATGGTCTCTGTTGATCAAAGGTTTATGGCGGCGAATTTCGATGGCTTCCAAAGGTTTTCTTTTTGTGAAGTCTTGATTCTTAGGGACTACTACGATTGCCGTAAGTCCATGTTAAGGTAGGTGAGTTGCGGTCGCCTTGGGATAAAGATCGCTTTGCACAACAGCGTCCACAGGGATACCACCATCACCTTTGACTTATTCCAGGCAATTAATGATTTGTAATTGTTACCTGTACAGCAAATTTGTTAATTGGATGAGCACTTCAATATCAAATGCTAGCTCATATCATAAAAAAGCGCTAAGTAATCACATTGCAATATATAATTTATTGAGGAAGTCAGATAACATTTTCAATGATAATGTCACTCAAAAAAACATTTCTTTTTTTTTTTTAAATGTGCCGAATATGTTTAAACGTGTCGTTGTTTTATTAATGTCACCAGAAAACTTACATCACATTTCACTTTCCACTTACAAAAAGCTAGCACGTCAGATTTGCTTTTGTCGCGCATTCTGTATCTCACTGATTCTTTTCTATATAATTGAGTTTGTACATCTAAGACGTTAATACTAGAGAATAATCAGCATCGAGTATCAATCTAAACGGATTTCTTTTGGCGTAGAGGACAGAATAGAGACGAAAATTATACACAGGTTGTTCGTGAAAATTTTAACTTTGCGAAAAGTCATTTTCAAACCTTAGGTAAATGTGGTATATGATTATCTTTCTGGGATTAAACACTAATATTCATCATAGTTTAAATATACTAGGATTTTATGTACATTTACTAATGATATTAAATCTGTGACAAGTGAATTAATTATAAAAAGGTAAACCCCAGAAACCTTTCTTTATTACATAATGTGATATTTGTAAGAAGTTCTGAAACATATAACTGTATAATTAATAATAAACAGTGAGAAATAATCCTTACCTTTTCAGTGGAACTGTCAAGCATTGTTGGTAATGTCAATGTGTAACACTTACGTAGTTTGTTACACGCTCACAGTACGTCGTTTATCAATATCCCGTGCTCAGTCAACATGTTCACATGCACATAACCAGTAAATGGGATTGCATAACAACGTGGAGATCAATTTAAAGTTGCAGTGCTACCTTTTGATAAATGTAACTGTCGATCACTACGATGTATATGTCAGTGAATTTGAATGCATTATTTCAACTTCGTGTTGTTAAAGGACAAGGTATGATAAAGGCCCTTATTGGCCCACAAAATTTCATGATATTCAAAGTTCTACAACAGGATAATTTTAGCATCAAGAAGGCTAAATAAATTGTTGAAATTACCTCCAATTGTTTTTTTTATGTTTTAGTGCTGTTTTCTTTGAAGACCTCAAAGTTTACATACATTACAATATCTTCTAAAAACCTACATTTTCTTATTTTCAGAGTGAAAACAAAGTGTGAGCAAAAGCATGACCCATCCCAACTTTTTCACCACACATGAAGAGAGTAAATTAAAATGCACACCTAAAAAAGTGGTGGGTCACGCTTTTGCTCATATCAAAATGTTTAAAAAAGTACATTTTTTCTGTTATATGAAATTGCCCCATACAACATCTCAAAAATAAACATTGGCGTAAAGTAATATCTTTGAAAACTATCCGTCACATTTACACAACTATACCATGATTCATTATTTATTTTGAATTTTTAGAGCACTAAATCAACTTATCAAACATGTTCATTAATACATTTTCAATATCATAAGGGACTCACAAGGCTGATTACTTTGAGGTAAACAAGGGTAGTTTTGGGGACACCCTGTTGATCTCTGCTTAAAAAGTAAGAAGACATCAGAAGATTTTTCAAAATATGATCAGGCAGCAATCTAAAGTGTGGAATCTGTGTAATATTTCTAGAATTTTATCATATTTGTTTTATCATCTGTTTATCAAACACCTCTGAGTCACCTGTCACTGTCAAATAACACTGTCATTCAACAGGATGTAACTGTGTATAAACATACAAATTTTAACAAAAATAATGTATCTTGATGTTTTTTACGATATATTAGATTACATTTAACCAAAATGACTATACTTAACTGTGTGAAAAGTTTACTGTTAGAATAAGAACATTGTATCAAGGTCTAACAGATGATGGACGCAAGCAGACGCCAAGTGACACATTGTTGCAAGGTGTAATGTATAAGCTTAAAGTAACAAGCGATAATAGTAGAATTTGTAGCCCAGTTGTTACAATGATAGCCGGTCAATTTTTTCTATTATCAGACATGCAGGTTCAAATCCTGGTTATTTCTTGTTTTCTTTTTCTTTTCTTTTTTCAAAAAATTTGGTCAGCCAATGTTTAACTTAACTTGTACCCATGAAATCCAAATTTTCTAATAGAATTCTTAAGTTTGGTAATCTATGTTACACTGTTCAAACAAACTTGAATTAACCTAATGTAAATCTTTTTAAAGCCTAAAGACACACAATAAAGAACATGGAGAAGGTTAGCATTGTAATTTCTTTAAGTAAATACATGTATTTACAAATTGCCCAGAGCAGTTAATTAGTGGTATGAAAATACGTAATGTTACCTTTGAATAAGAATATCGAACTTTTTAAAACAGAATTTTCTATTGAAAAAAAGTCATCTGTTTTTCAGTTGAGAAGATCTGGGTAAGGCAGACACCAAGACAAGATGCCTGTTTCCAGCGATACAGTGTTGAATGCTGCAGTTCTTGACAGTGATTCAGAAACTGAGATGGATGACCATGAGGATGAAGAATGAAAGTGGATGTTTATATCTTTGCAGTGAATGAGTTGTGAATAATTACTTTTTGAAGATTTTTTAATACTGACTTTTAACACTTACATGGTGTTAAAATCAAGCTGTGCCAAGAATCTAATTTCACCCGAAATGGGCCCCTTTGAGGTCAAGTCGTGATTTTTAGTGCAACATGATTGGTTATTGTAATAACATGTTCTGAATGAGATGTTTACTGTATATTTGCTAAAACTTGTTGTGAATACTGACTTTTAACTCTTACTTGTTAAAATCAAGCTGTGCCCAAAATGTGGGGCGCGGTGGGCGAGCTGGCTAAGGCGCCAGGCTAGTGATCCAGCGAGGTTGAGGTGTCGGGATCAAGCCCACCTGTGACCGGGTGTAAAAACCTTGGAGTCAACTTTGTGTGCAGACTCTTTCAGTGTTGTCACAACCCCTAGTGTACAGTACACAACCCTGTGGACTTAAAAGAACCCACGAATCCGTTGGTATTTGACCAGGTGGTGGCCACATGAATACGTGCAAACACCTAGTTGCGGGTACAGCAACGTGCAGTGAACATGGACAAAGTACTGTGACTATGTGTCCCAGTCCACCCAGCTGTGAATGGGTACCTCGTTAGGATGAGAAAGCAACAATAACTCGGTGCGCCTAGTGGCTGCAAGAGTTTAATACTCCCCAGGGAGTTGAGATTGATAATGCGATGTGCCGTTGAGATTGACATCCAAAGATCAAGGGAAAAAGTACCAGCGCCTTGAGCATGCACCAGTGCGTGGATATGTGCGATATATAAACATCCTATAATAATAATGTAATTAGACCCAAAATGGGGCCCTGTGATTTTTAGTGCGACATGATTGGTTATCATAAGTGTATGCTGTAAAATTGACCTATAGTTTATATTTGCAAAGAAAGTTGTGAACAATGAGGTTTTTTTTGTAAACAATTGGCAAGTAATTGAATTACTGTCCCCAATGTATTGCAACCCTAATTGGGCCTCTCGAAGTTAAAACCTTGTGATTAATATTGACATGTTTCTTGATCATGAAATACCTGTTAGTAAAACTGATGTTATATGTTAATAAACTCATAGTTGTAAATAAGTCATTATGGCACACTGATATTTCAGACTTCCTGGGTTTTTTTCATGGGAACTGATAAAACCCATTTTGGGCCCCTTTGCATTGAAATTACGGCCTCAGATCATTTGAGAAATAACTTTTTTATGCAAAGCTATCTTGTCTCTAAACAAATAACATGTGTTCAGCCAATTCTGTTTGTGGGCCAAAAAATACCCTTATCATACCTTGTCCTTTACTTCCTTGTGTCAAAAAGAATTGGAACAGTATTATCATGCTTGTGTTGATGTCACAATTTCCTGTAAACGGTAAAATTACATATCATGACAACAAAAACATTTCTGTTGTGTAGTTATGGGCAAGTTGAAACATGTCGTTTCAAAATACAGTTTGTGTTACTAATTTGATGATTGTCTAAAAATAGTTCCGAAAGATCTGCTAGGATTAGAATACCCGTAAAATGTTTCTGTCATGGTGTTGTTATGAGAGTGTGTTTTTTGTAATTTGTAACATCATTGATTAAGTGATAGTTATTATGGGTCCCAATGTTTAAAGTTTTGAGTGTGGGTTTTGGCTCGCATCTCGCATCATATATGTTCAATGGCAGTAGTATTTGTAGCGGTATGCCTTTTTGATAGCGCTTCAGAGTTGCCTCCCTTGGGGCAATCTTTTGTATTTGTTTTGACTTCCAGTCGTGTGTTCCACATGTTTCCACATCGTTCTGAGACGATAATGATGGAGCCTAGCTTTGCTAGAATGCTCGAGAACTGTGTATGAGCTATATAAAGGCTGGTTGTTGAGTAGTGCGACACAGGGACTTATCACATCACTGGAGTTATACACATCTGTCTGCCGTGGCAAAGTTGTTCAACATTCAAGACTGACCGTGCTTGCCTATTCGTCTACTGTCACTGTAAACAACCTTCAATCAGTATATCTGCTCTCACTGAAAATGTCAAGACTTTGGTGAGTTAATATCAAATATTTGTGATCCAATATTTTAGATTTGTGACTCAATTGCATTGTACTAGAAATCTGTATTGTCATTCATTTTAGCTTGCTCATTGTTTGTTCAATATATTATTGAATATTTTAGACTTGTCTGTGTTCTAATTTGCTGGTTCAAAGGGGACTCGTAACCCTTTCCACTAGACTGTTGTGTTTGGGCGTTTGTTTCTGATTTTTTAAAAGTGGTCACATAATGACCTCTTCAAATCTGGGCTGACAACCCAAGTAGGTGTAACCGATATAGGGTTTTATTTCATGTAATTTATTTATACCTACTTGGGTGTCCCACTTCTTCATCAGATCGACCCGTGAAGATCCGGGGTAGAATAGGTCTTCAGCAACCCATGCTTGCCACAAAAGGCGACTATGCTTGTCATATGAGGCGATTAACGGGATCGGGTGGTCAGGCTCGCTGACTTGTTTGACACATGTCATCGGTTCCCAATTGCGCAGATCAATGCTCATGCTGTTGATCGCTGGCTTGTCTGGTCCAGACTCGCCGCCGGAATATTGCTGAGCGCGGCATAAAACTAAACTCACTCACTCACTCTTCATCAGATCACGGATGTACCTTCTAATCAGGGTATGGAATAAGAAGTGGTGTCACAGATTTGTTGAGTGCTGCCTTGGCAGCAAGGTCGGCCATTGCATTCCTAGAAAGCCCAACGTGGCTTGGCAACCAACAGAGGACGATGTCGCATTGGCCAGTAGCAAGATTATTAATTAACTCTATAATTTCGATTAAAAGTGGATGTTTTCAAGAAAGATTTTTAATAGCCTGAAGGCAAGAAAGACATATGATATATTGTTTATATTTGGGATGTCTTTTATTATAACTAAGAGCTGTTAGTATTGCATTTGCTTCTGTTGTGAATATTGAGCTGTCATCAGTTAATCTGGAGGATATTGTTCGGGTTTCAATGAATGAATGAGTGTAACTCTCTTTGGTTGTAAAACATGCAAAAGAAGACATTATGTTGACAATCAATACCTGTTTGTATTACGCTCCTCAGTAGGTGTGACGAGATACATTTAAGAATTATATAATAGTTATTTATGATAGTTATATGCTTTGATCTTTTTATTCTATGGAAGTTTATGAGGGAATACGTTTAATATAGTTTCATCATGTTTTTCACAAAATGCTATCTTTCCGTATTGATACTAATTATTGAACGTCATACAAAAATCCTTGAGTAGAGA